GCCTCATACGATGTAATATGTTTCATTGATTCAGCATTTTTGTAGATTCGATTATTTCACCAAAAAAACAGATTAATAATAAAAAACTCCTGAAGGGAACAATCACAAATACGATCGACTGAACAACTGAAAATCAAAGTTACCTTGGTTAACCAACAAGGACAGGAAAATTGAAGAGATATTGAGCATCGCTAATCTTCCAAGTCGTTATTTTCGTATTTGGAATATTGGAATCTAGTCGTCAGTTGGGCTGGCGAGCAACGATAAATCATGCTCATACAGGTATAATTATGACAGCTCGAGAAAACCAGAACAAGCCGACCTTTTTACCATCCCAACCTGGGGTGCAAAGGGTAGCGCAACTGTTGATTAATGAAGAAATTATAAGAGCACCAATGGGAAAATCCGATGGTAAGTTAACCATGAATAACGCGTCGACAAATAGATCTAGTTCATTTACATGTAGAGCGTATCCGCAAAAAAGGTGATGCATCTCAAAGGATACAGTAATAAGACCTTCAATATGCTATTATGACATAATGGGCCCAGTATGTGGGGTAGGCACCCCTATTACGGAGGAGAGCGCATAAGATATGCAAAGAACGGTGTTTGTTTATATCGTATCTTGAGCAGCATGTGTAGCCATATGTCGGGGTGCCGAGTTATCGGATCAGTTTGGCCCAAATTGCCAGCATCCTCGCGAATCTGCCAGAGAGAGAGGGGCAGTCGTTCTCGCCAATTCCGCAGACGGAGACGGAGAAAATTTCGTCAGCCGCGAACTAACATGAAAATTGCTTCTGCCGGAATGACTTCGCCACCTTTCCGACATGCAATTCACGGTTTACTTTGATACCCATTTCCCGACGTACTTAATCGAGATGAAAATGCTCGACTGATGATTTTTTTTATCAGACGATCGCGATCGTCTCCAATCCATAATAAATTCTGATTCAGTGGAAATGACTGAAATTCTACGTTAACTATCTGTCACTTATCCGTACTCCTCTATCATAGTCATTAATGATATACAGGGTGTTTTAGAGTTGTGGTGACAGAAGCCTAGGGGAGATTTCTCTCAACAGAATATGAAAAAAAGTACATACAAACATGGGTCCGAAAATGTCCATGTTGAAAAAAAGAGTTTTTCATTTATCTTGGAAATCTCTCAAATTTTTCAGGATCGTATACATTTTAGAGACAGTATCGAATTTTATGTCTTTCCTATCTTCATAAATAATAATGTGCAATTATTGTTTCAATAATATCTGAGCATTGTTATTTTTCCTTATGGAGTTCAGAGATATATGGCTAGGTATGGTATTGTCCGTTTTGCTCGAAAGCGAAGCATTATACGATAAAATACCAAGTGACAAAAATGTTGTATTTTTAGTGAGTTATCCACTTCAATAATCAAGAAGAACACAAGACAACACAGGGTGACTTTTTTATATAAAAAAAGCGACTTGCTTGATGGGTACTCCCCTGGAGATTCTGGATCAAATCTAATTGGTCCAGTGAATGTCTGATGATTGTTTGAATGAACCATGGAAATTTCATCCAAATCGACTTTAGCGTTTTCAAGATATTAATGAAAAACACATTTTTTTCAAGTTGGACACTGTATCTCGGAAACGAAGCGTTTTCGGACCAATGTTCATAAAATTTTTTTTTTTCATATTCTGTTGAGGGGAATCTCCACTAGACATTTGTCACCACAATTATGAAACACCCTGTATACAAATGGCAATGGTATATGCGAGGCTTTTTGTAATTTTGTATTTCCCGATTTAATACATTTGAACAAAAATAAAACTTATATTCTAAAAACTGTAAAAAGTATCAATAAAAAACTTCATATTGTTATTTTGAATATAAATCAGATCTCTTGATTTCTATAGAAATTCCAAACTATGATATACGGTGCCCAACTAAATGAATACGTCACATACTTATAATAATGTAGGTAAATCGAATTCTCATTGATAGAGACGAATTTAAATTACATAGTAATCGAACCACCGCTGGTAAGGAGACTTAATAGTTGTATCAATGAATATCTGAATGACCAGTTGAATCACATGACAACTAATAAAAAAGATACCAACACCAATCACTACAAGCGTACACAAGCTACCTTGATAGGTAGCGTATTCAGAATTGAATTGAGAAAAGAACAAGCAATCCGAGGCCCCAACACGACCATCACATTAACAGTTTACGTCAACTCAAACTAGTGAGAATATAGCAAGAGATACATAGTTTCTTCCCAATAATGATAATTTAAATCTAACGGCGCTAACTCATCATCATTTACTTATTGATTATAATATTGTATTAACCCCTTTTGGAATTCAAATTTTCACAAACAGTTTCACGGAAGAATTCGATTTGATGATATTCATTCCTAGCTTCTTAATTCAGGGTGGTTAGGATAATGAAAATGTTTGGAACGAAAGGAGTTGTAAAAGTAATTGAAAATGTTAGGACAATAACCATATTTCAAGTCTTAAGTAGCAAGCCACCGAGTCACAAGTCGTGAAAAGGGAACAGGTATAATCTGGAAGGAGTTGCTACAAGGAAAACAGAAAAGTTCAGATCCGTATTCCAGAAGAACTAATTATACTAGAGAGAAAATCGTTGACATTGTATTATCCGGTTATCATACCGGAAATTATTATTTTATGTTAGAGTAAGCTCATTCCATTGAGATCCTTGTTCCAGTATTTTAATATATCAGGGGTGGTGAATCTTGGGACCATTTTGAGAAATAATTCATATTTTCAATATTTTTGATTGAAATATATGAACGGTGTCATTTTCATTTATTGTGAAGAAATTGAATTTCCACAACCCGAAAATATTGTTGGCTCGTGAAACTTCAACTGAAACTGTTACTGGAGAATTCTCAATTTTTTCATTCATTTTTCATCATCATTCAAATGAATGAAATTTGGTCTATTCATCACTGGACATTTCAGAAATTTTCATGGCCTACCTACATTGATATAAAATTGATGTTGATAAAATCGGCCCACTCTTGTTAAAATCATGAATCATATGCACCTTTCACAAGCGAAGCAATAAGTATAATTGATTTATTGTGACTCAAGAGATATTTTCTTCATTATTTGAAATCCTTATTTCTGTATAGCAGACAAAAATAGTTCTGTAGGTACACCCTGTATCCTATTCGGGAAATGAATTTCTCGCAGCTCATTTAAATGTTCAAATGTGGTCGACATTAAAGAAAACTGATAGGGTAATTTTGGTCCCTTATTGTATTCATTTTAGAAAACACAATATTATATTTCAAAGGGGCAGTAATTACGCGGGATCTATGGCTCATTCTTTATTGTGGCACTAACGTATTTTTTATCTCATTTTCATGTTTTTATTAACGCGTTCCCAAAGATAAGCGAGTAAATGTCCATCTGGTGAATGCAACGCCCCTCGCGACATTCGCAATCTCCACGTTTTTACGGTCAAAAATCTCCTTCGAGGAGACCTGAGATGGAATTAAACGCCGACTTTTAATGCGCAACGGGTGGAAAAAGTTCATATCGCCTTCTTCGGAGCGACGACGGTCCGCCAGAAAGGGAATTTAATTAAGTAAAATTACCCCGCTTGTAGTTTAATTATGTTAGTATCGGAGTTTTTACGCCCCAATGGGGGGGATTGGGGGAGCGGATGACGCCTCCACGCGCCACCGATCAAAAGGTGTCGCTCAAAGGAGGCCCTTCACTCGGAGAATCTTCGGAATCACAGCTCCCTACGACGGGACGTGCCACCCGTGGCCCGGTACAATTAAAAAGATAACTACTCGACTGAAACAATTTTAAAAGCCGATAAAACAGTCGCGATAACAGGCGATGAAGAGGGAGAAAAACCAGGACCGTTTTTATCATCGCACCATAGATCGCACTATCAAAAAAAAGTGCCGAGGCAGTCTTTGGGGACTACCGATAGAACTGAAAACTAACTAGTGAATTGTATAATAATATGTCGAGCTATCAGATTATTATTTTTCTACTCCTTTTTAGTTCGCTTGAATCTCCCAATGTTGATAAATGATTCATAATCTCCGACCTCGAATACCCCAGATACAAATTTTGAATAGAATCGGATCATAATTACGAAGCTCGTCCACCATATTGGATCTGCAATTTTGAATTTTCCAATTATGTTAATGGAATCATAATCTCCGACCTTGAAAACCCCAGATTCAAATTTTGAATAGAATCGCATCATAATTACGAAACTGGTCCGCCATATTCCATTTGCAATTTTAAATTTCCCAATTTTGATAATGGAATCATAATCTCCGACCCCGAAAACACTCAGATACAAATTTTGAATAGAATCGGATCATAATTACAAAACTCGTCCGCCATATTGCATCCGCCATCTCAAATACGTCATCTTAAATTTCCTGATTTTGACGGAGGAATCATAATCTCCGACCCAGAAAACCCCCAGATACAAATTTTGAATAGAATCGGATCATAATTACGAAACTCGTCCGCCATATTCGATCTGCAATTTCGAATTTCCCAATTTTGATGATGGAATCATAATCTCCGACCACGAAGACCCTCAGATACGAATTTTGAATAGAATAGGGATCATAATTACAAAACTCGTCCGCCATATTGAATCAGCCATCTTGAATTCTCTAATTTTGACTAAGGAATCATAATATCTGACCTTAAAAACTCCCAAATACAATGTGGTGTCCACATATTTTTATGTATAACCAATAATTCCTAATACTATATAGATGACAGTTCAGCTCATAATATACCAGAATCCAAAGTGAAGCCTACATAAAGTGTTTCAGACTTCAATGCTGACGAGATGACGAGATGACGAGATGACGAGATGAATAATTATGTCAACATTATCAGCTATAAATCAGATATTCAGATATAAATGGAGAGTTTCCTCACATTCGGAAAAAATCAGTTTTGAATCAATATTTTATGAATGAAATTGGTACTCACCATGATCGAAGAGAAAAGATGACTTAGCCAGCGCATGAGCTGCAGGTGGCAATCCTGGCATAGAAAAAGTGTAGGTCCCATTGCTATTGAAACCACCTCCGAACAGAGATCCAACTGGAACAAAAAGGAAATGGAAATCAGGTTGATTTTACAAAACGCTGCCAAGACTTCGAAAGTTAAATTCACTGCTTTCCGACTTCAAAAAAACAAAATGGATATATCATTTTTTGTTTGTATGCTATGATGAAACTTTGAATTTGTTATGTTTGGCTATAGGTTATAATAAATATAGGATGTGAACCTTATGAACGGTTTTCAATCTCCTCCTGGTTATGGTTTTAGAAGTATTTCCGTATATACAATAAATACCCTTCTTTCAAGTTGGGCCTTACCCTCTTCACAGTCGTTGAACACATACCACCGCTTTGCAATGCAATATTGATATTAAACTCATTGGCCATGCATTCAAACAAAATAATAACCAACAAGCACGAATTCCATCAATCAATATCATGAAGGGAAACACATATTCTGAAAGGAGCAAATGTATAGAATTTCTCATTTTTGAACTCAGCATCAGGTCAGATGACATTGGCAATTATGGCATATGAAAATTCCGAGTTAATTCGTGGAATACAAGTTCCAAATTAGTAAAATGATTGAATACTTTAATTCCTTAAGATAATGCCGAACGCGCGAAAAAAATGCAGTAGAGAGAACAAGATAATATATTGTTTTGAATAGACGATTCGAAACTTATGTTGGAACTGCAAAATTGCGCAATTATAGAAATGGATGTATTGCATTTGAATATAAATTGTATTGAAACGTTGAATCCGGAGTTTGGTAGAGTATTGTGTGTAAATTGTGACTATTCATAACATACAGTGGAGTATCAATATGTCCAATCGAATAAGTACGCATCTACATAATTCATGTATTTAAATATCGGACTGGTCTGGTTATTACCTTATCATCCAGTCATCGGACTCAAGATATAGTGCGGTCATATTTCAAATTCTCGTAACCATCTCAAAAACGCATCTATACTCGATCTCTATAAATAAGCTGACAACAGACTAGAAATCACGAAATGTACGGAATATCTATATAGACATAAGACATAAGATGATAATAATAATATGTCTAGAAATTTTCATGGCATTAATTTATTGATTCCAAAATATTCAACTATTCACAAGTTCAAGGCTCTTCACCTATACTCCACATTATATCTATCTGCAAATGAATGCCTGTTTGTTCATGGCTGGAAATACTATATCAGAATACCAATGTTATAGGCTCTATGCAGTAAGCACTGGTTAGGAGTCTATAAAAACCTGGGTTTTGACTGTGCTATAGATATCGTGTGGATATATCCTTTGGATTGCTGTATTTCAGTTCCTTACATCTGCCGACTACCGACTGTCACTGTCAGTGCCGGTTTTAGCACTACCAGCGCCCTGGGCAAGAATTCTACGGCGCCCCCTAAAAACTAATATATTTCACTCTTCTAGCCTTTGTATTGGCAAACTCTTTCATTAGATCAACAAAGTCAATATTTTCAGCAATTTTATTTTCAATTGACAAAGTTGTCAAGTTTGTCAATCTAGATTGAGATATTGTCGATCGCAGATAGGTTTTCATCACATTAGGCTCAGAAAAACTGAAAACTAGCAACCATTACAGGTATATAAAGTCAATAATATTCGCAATGCTAATCATACATTTTGATAAAGTTCTTTTTAGTAGCGATCTTTTATAAAATTCGAAACATATGCAGGAGTTACCAAATTCTGATTAGGTGAGTATCACACCACATATACCTTGTCAAAGGTCGAGTTGTTTCGAAATTTGTTTTATATTGTACAAAAGTACCAAGATTACAAATCTTGGTACCATAGATTGTAGTACTCATTTAACTTCAAATATTTCATTGACTGAAATGAATGATGAAATTAAGATATGATGTAATTACTGATGCGCTTCTGTTCCAGAAATTTGACTCGGCCTCTCGAGAACAGCGAGAGCATTGCGGTTCCGTCGATCTTCTAATAGATGGCGACATTGCACAATTGTGAAATCTGTCACTTTTGATATTGTCGCAGATTTTTCGAATTCAGAGTTGAATAATCCTATTTGCTATTTTATTTCCACTCGTCACAGCAGCAATAGCACCATCACCATCTAGCAGGAAAATGTAGAATCAACGTCTCGCTCGTTGTGACGTAGAGAAATCATAGTAGGCGGTCGAGTGATTTTTCCGAAATTTTCAATACGTAATAATGGCCGAATACGCGCACCATATCTTACTTTCATCATTCTGAAATGAATGAAAAATTAAACCTGATTTTTTTCTGTAGAAGCTATTGGCACGTGGCGGGCAGTTTCACCAGTTTGACGCTCAACATATTGAATTATCCATGTGGCACTAAGATTAGGTCCAAGCTTAGGTTCAATTTCTAGTTCTTCAGCCAATTCCTCTGCAGTTAAAATAGCGATTTCAGAGTTAGTATTTCTATATTCTTACGAGAAAGTGCAGCATTCTTTCAACATTTCTGTGCATTTACTGAGATCTATATCTGTTGATTGTGAGATGCGCTAATGACGTTGATTTGAAAACTTTGAGGAATTTATAGAGGTTTTTGCGGCGCCCCTTTTCATCCGGCGCCCTGGGCGGTCGCCCAACCGCGCCCTACCCTAACGCCGCTACTGGTCACTGTCACCGTTCTACCAAGAAGAAGACCCAAGAGCGGACATAAGACTGTTTTTCAACTGATGTATTCGATTTATTTGCATCGAGCATCTCTCATCTGCCTTTTGACATCAAAATATATCCATATATGTTCAAATCAGGCATGTTTATTCGTGTTTTTATTCATTCCGCTGTGTCTCCCATACACGATAACCATATATGCATGTATACCCATACTATAGGTATAGAGATTTCCAAAAAATTCATGGTCCTACTATAAATCAAGTATTTATATTAGATATACATACCGGTTGGAGACTTTTCGAAATCGATAATACAAACACAGTGTGTTAATTCAAAAAGTTGATCTTTTTAATCCTGGCTAATATTTTCTGCAAACAAATGCCGGTTACAAAGTGAACCATGTTGGTGCTGAAATGATGGGGTGATTCTAATTGGGAAGGGTGAATTTAATCTCTTCCAAGGTTAGTGCCAAAATTATCGACGTACCTACTTTATTCAAGCTTCTTCCAAGTGGTTGGATTCGAAAAGAAGTTACTTAGATAGGTATATAGCGATGTTGCATTTAAAAACTCGTTCATGAGATCAAAATGAGTGCCAACAAGTGATTTTCTCTTATATATGTAGTTTCGGAGTTTCTTTACTCCTATAACCCATCATCAACTATGAATTTCCATCACTGTGTCACTTGAAATTGAGCGTTTTCGAAGGTGTTTTTTGATTCGTAGAAGAAAGTAAGGTAAAAAATTCGTTCATAATTTTCACATCTGCTGCATCGACCGAGGCATCGAAAAAACTGTATTCAAGTACGTGTACTACCTTAGAGGATTGTAGAAAACATATTGATATCTTGAGGTATGATTTTCGACTGTGTTATAAAATTTCCATAGCCAATCTGGTGAGCAGTGTTTTACTTGTACTAACACAAGCAGCAACGTGTTTCTGGCATTCCCGCGACTGAAAACCTGTAGACAACTTATTTATGTTCGGATTGTTTTCGAAAAGCCGCCGTTTTCCCACTACCGTTCTTTGTCGAACGGCCTCATCGGTGTAGGAAATTCTAAAAACGTTCAAACGATTTTGCGGAATCTTGTGTTGAGTCACGACACCGCAAAATCGAGAAGTTATTTAGCGTTCTTCGCGTATTTAGCGCATGCGGGAGACTTTCTAGAAATGCCGCTGGTAGCTGATATGCGCTTTTTTCAATTCGATGGTACTTTTTTATTCTCGGATTCGATTTCCTGTTTTACATACAAGAGGAAGCCCGAGGCCTCTTCTCCACGACCAACAGGAACAGGGTGAACAACTAAAACTCAAACCGTATCACTACGAAGGACCAACTCAACTACAACAACAACTGAACAAGTCATCTCATGAGATGACAAACTGAACAAATTTAGTTTGCGAACATGCAGTCATTTTCGACAGCTTCCTGAAGAAAAGTCTTTCAGTAGACCCGTTAGGCACTTTCTGGGACCGGTAAACTCGCGTCACGGAAGCGTGCGTACTATAAGACCGACATAATCATAAGTGTATAAAGATTATCAAAAAACAATTGCAGGGTCTTGTACCGCACCTGCATCCACTTCAAAGGGAACTTCAAACCGGCCGACGATGCACCGTGCGGGATATTCTGCGATTTATTTTAATAATATTTTGATTTGGATCTTTGAGTATTTCAAGGTTTGGATATACTTTACCTATATGCGTTGATATGCGACGGCGGCTGTGTTTTCGAGTCTTGTATAAAACTGATATACATGCATCAAATTTTTCTCGCTCGGATTACAAAAAAGGTCTATATATACATCATTCACATCATTTATAATACAGAGGGTGAGTAATAAATACTTTTGACAAGATGCAATTTGAAACTTCTGCATCAATAATTTTAGTTCAAGTTCATCTTGTTCGCCAATACGTGGAAATATTATTTATCATTGATATATTACTTCATTCAGACCTTTCCATTTCATAGTTTTTAAGAATTCAGGTCCCTAACGACACAGTATGGAGTTGAATGCCAATAATTCATCATCAGTCCACTCGCCCATTGCCTCAACGCAAAGGAAAATCCTGGGACATATTTCTGGTGTCTGTATATTTTTTGAATTTATCAGTTCACCCTGTATGGACTGTCGGCGTGGTGATTCATTGTTAAAGCGACTTAATTGATTTATGAAAACGAATTGTGTGATTTGTCGACGGCTGGTAGCAGTACATTTGTCCTAAACTCGATGACACTTCTTTCTTGTGCTACACAGATTCCTCTTCTGATAACACAAATATTCCTAGACCGGTGAGCGGCCAACAAAAAAGAGGATATCAAATTTATTCTTTCGAAACCGATCAACATGTGGAATGTACGAGTAAATATCGTAGAATATAATTTCAAGATAAAACATTACAAAAATTCGGCTTTCCAACATGATGTAAGTTCGATAACTATCCAAATCTATCATTTTACTTCAGATTCGGCTGTCGCCAACTCATTATAGTGATTTATTTTTCAACAAACATTCCCTTTGATTTCTGTTTTACATTCCATGCATAACAAGGACATTTCGGTATACTTTAATATCAATATGACTTTGCCAAAAGCATTTTAAATTACTTTAAATTTCCCACAAGAACACACTGAAAAGATTTTTTTTTTCTGATAATGACCTTGCCACAAATACACCATTTGAATATATCGTTTATTCGACGTTCTGTTCTGATAATATTGTAAAGTTACTTACTTTGTGATAGCAAAATGTTTATCTGCGAATCCTGATAAAGCGAAGGATTGAGAAACAAAGATCAATTTCGGGATCGTTCGAATAAAGGTGTGAACGATCGGAAAACGATCAATTCCCGAATTCCCCGAAAATATTTCAATCTTTTCCTCCCATTTTCCGTCCGACTGCTTTTATGTGTGCATGAAAGATGCTCCGGAAGAAATCAGAAATCTCACATAAAACTTCACTGCCATATAATTGTGTTAGTGACAAATTTTTGAAATATGGCGAGAAAATAAGTGACATAAAAAGTCGTGTTTGCACTAAATATAATAACAATAAAATGCGAATTGATTTCTCACGGGGCAGGGGGTTGATATTAGTTAGGGGATGCAACTCGAGTTCACAGCTGGAGAGGTAATATAGGACACGTAAGGGTGTCTCCGCGCTGTATGACATGACTCTTCAGTCTCCGGTCTATTTAATAAACTAGGCACGCATATTCCACGCCGTTTGCACGAAAAATAATTTGGGCAATCATTCATTTTTATTTACTCGTTTTCGACATAACGTCATGTAGTCCGCAATGTGTTTTGCACTGTAATATGTAATAATTTCATTTGTACATAACTGCTTTTTTGAAGGGATAACAAAGAAGCACTACCTATCGATTTTTTATTATTAATTTTTTACGTCACCTGTGGATTTGGAAAACCCACATACCAAATGAAAAATCAAGACACTATTATTCTGGAAAACTGGAAACATCTGCATAATATACATTATATGATAACTAGGAACTAGGCAAGTGAGATTGAGAAACCGATGCATGTGCAATGAAATCAGGATTTTTTTTTGTATTCTCATGACGATATAAAATCCTCAGTATTCATGAAGTTCTAATTTCTGGAAAATCCTATATTGATTTGCATTATATCCTCAAAATTCTCATACATTCTCATACATTCCGAATAAATTCTCATACATTCTCATACATTCCGAATTAATTCTCATACATTGTCATACATTCCGATAAATTCTCATACATTTTCATTAGGGTTAGCAATCCCGAAATCTCGGGATCCCGACAAAATTTCGATCCTGGCAATCCCGGGCTTTGTACGATCCGATTTCATGGTCGCAAACGCATGCGTAGATACTTGGTACGAATCAGGCAAGACGTTCGTAGCGTAATTTCCGCAATATAAACGTTACATTTCATTTTTGTTGATATATCTCTAGAGATTTTGTTTTCATTATCACAGTATTTGTTTCTAACGGACTACGGATACTTTATTCAATTGTTTTCACTTTTGCTGTTCTGCTGCATTTGCCGTTGTTTTGTATTATTTGTATTTGTTTGTTGAATAAAGAGTATATAAATGGATACTTTTATTATTTTGTAATGTCCCTGGAATCAATTTTAACCATTTAGACACCGATCCCAAAATCCCGGGATTCTCGGGCATAGGTAAACAAAATCCCAAAATCCCGGGATTGAAATTTTGGTTCGGAATTACAAACCCTGATTCTCATACAATCCGATGGCAATTCCCATACATTCTCATTAATTCCGATACATTCTCGTTCATTCTCATACATTCTCATACATTCCGACACAAATTCTCATAAATTCCAATACATTCCGATAAATTCTCATACATTCTCATACATTCCGATAAAAATCAACAAATTCTTATTAAATCTTGAATATTCATAGAGTTTCATGAATTCTACAAGAATGATGCTTAGTTCATCTTTCTATCTTTCATATTATTTCAACTCCAGCATATTGTAGAATAACAATTCTATTGAGTAACTAACGTCATCTCGTATTCATCGTCCATTAGCAGTCAGAACCAACTCGTTTGCAAGTTCTGCAAACCGGCGATTTTATGCGATGATATCGATGGCAGAGACATAGCCGTACAAAATCGGCAATAATAACAACAGCAGTAAAGAGTAAAACGCACGTCCTCATCAGCTTGCAATTAGTGAGTACGTGTTGCTGCGAATTTTCGTGTGCGCCGCGTGTCGCCGCCAATGCTGCCGCCGCCACCGCTATACCACCGCCAACAACTAAGGACACCGTTTGAATACCAAATCGCGCCCGCCTCCCTGTAAAATGCGTAATTGCATCATTCCGTTTCATTTGGAATACTATAATAAATTTATTCAATTTCACTCACACCATATTTCACTTTTATTAAATCAACAGTGGACGCCGCCACAGTTACGGCCGTTCTGCCTTTACGTGTTTGACGCCACAACGTTTCGTTCTAATTGATACGTCCAAGCATTGACCACTCCGTTTCCATTATAACAATAATTACAAGTCATCCAAAATTGATGATAAAGATTCTTCCTGTTTGGAAAATTCCACAATTAGAAGGTATCCGGCAGCTTCGCTAACAAAAAAAATGGTTTTAAAATTGTTAAATACTATGTCTGTAGGTTAATCGAGGAGGTGGTACATTCATTTTGCTTGATAATTTGGGATTTTCTGTGCTCGTTTCTATAAAATAAAAATATTAGTATTATTTCAATATACCTGTATAGTATAGGACTGATGATTTGCCCCAAAATGTCACTGCGTTTGAACAATTTTTCTATCAGAGAGCCTGAAAGAAAAATCCAATAGCTTGCCAGTGACACTTTGTTTTGAAAAATGTTAGAAGAAAAGAAATATAAATATATTGAAAGAATATCGAATTTTAATAGTAATAGTGAATAGGTACTAATATTCTTTTTATATACAGGGTGTCCGAGAAAATGTTTGGTTTTAATTTTTTTTTCTCAAGTATACGAAGCGAGATAAATGAACAAACTCCAATGTGGTGACTGCATATTATGTGGTATTGATTGAAAATTTTGAGTGAATTCTCAACATAAACTAGATATTTCATCACGTTTTCCTATCAATGAAAATCTGTATAACAAATTTGAATGAAACGGCTCATGAATTACCATTTTACACAGTCAATATAGTGAAATTTCTATTCTCAATCGGGCGTGGACCGAAATTGAGATATTATTGCGTGGACCTTGAGTGAAATTTCACTCAATTTTTTTTTCAGCATGGAATGCTTTTGACATTTTGAGCAAGCTTGAGCTTCGGTTTCAACGCATGGATTTCCGATCTATACGGCTTTTGGCAACTTCTCCACAGCTGTTTTTCGGCATAATGACCACTTTCGTAAAAGTGTCCACCGATCTGATCCTTTCGACTCAAATTTCGGCGAATTGTCCATTCGCCGACTTATGTCCATTCTGCGAAGTCATGGACCTAATTATTAGAACAAGGATCCAAGGAGACCTCATGGCGTCTCACTTCCATAGCCTTGCAAAGAAGGATTTCGCAATCAAATTCGCCCAATCGAATGAGAATGGCGTATGCGTATTACCTTAGCGAAAATACTACGACTACGGCGTGAAGGGATCAATTACGGTACTATTTGTCAAGTAGTACAATAGATAAGTGACTCCTGGACACCTGCTTCACGGTTCACTGCACTAAATAGCCGTTTGCCGTGCTCATTTTCGAGTGTACGGGAGTCATTCAGGCTCGATCGAGGACTACCCTCGATATGCCCTTAATGCAGTGCCGGCCGACCAATTTGGATGGAAGGTTATAATAATATTGTATATTTTTGAGGCCAATAAATATCTATCTATCTATGATGATGGTCATCTGATCTTAAGAACAGAAAATTGGGAAATAGTCAGTATCTACACACTCACGCAAAACACTTCAATGTGGCATTCACTATCGTAACAAATTATGGAAAGACTGTGCTATCGTAGTATAACGTCTTCTATACCGCGGGTGTCCCAGAGCTTTCAGGCCAGCAGATATCTGGGTCATCTTACATACAGAAAAAACTCAAAAAATTGCGGAATATATGGGAGCAAGAGCTCTCCAAGACATTGAAATCAAATCACCCTCATGTCAAACAATCTACTAGAAACCATCTCTAACTTTGGTTCTTCAAATTGCACCCTCATGTTTTTTTCGGTTCATCTTATAGAACTTTTCATTCTAAATTCAGTGATATATCGGACTAGATATATATTTAGAAAGAAATTCATACCCGGAAATTTAGAATAAGTTCAATGATTTTTATGGAAAAACATCAATTTTTCCTTGAATGATTGTTTGAAATGACTGACGTTACTTTATATCGCCTATTCATCAGACTGTGTGTAGCTCTAATTTTTCAAAGAATAACAGGGTGCATAACAGAATAACGTGCCAGCAAATTCATTTACTTCGTTATAATTTTCACTATAACGCTATATCGATCGTAATGTATCTTTGAATTGAGAAGTTCTAGGAAAAACCAAAGTAAGGGGTGATTTCTGGTAGATTGTTTGACAGAAGGGCGATTTGATCTCACCATTTAAGGAAGCTCTTGCTCTTATACATCTTTTGAAATTTCTTGTATGTTATATATAGTCCAGATATCTGCTGCCCTAAAAGCTCCGAGATACCCGGTATAATACTATAGAATAATAATACCAAAGCAAAATTTACACGAAATAATTCATTTCTTTCGACATTTCTACAGATTTGTGCAAAATGCATATATGAATCAGAAATTAAAACATTTAGGTAGGTACCCACTTGGCGAAAATAGTAAAACCTTATAAAGAGTAAGTGGAAACTAAATAATTTACAATACCAATGAGAGTATTTTATTATTGTATCATCACTATAGCGCTCAGGAAGCTATGGAGTTCAAAACATGTCCATTACCTATATGTATTCCTCATCACAGTGATATATATGTTGCATTGGTATACTATTGAAAACACTAGACATTGCAAATGAACCCAAATAATTCAAACTAAGACTTTATAATATTCACAAAATCATCCCGAAATGATCGCTTCATGGTCTGATATGAAAGCTTGTAAAAATGAGTAGATATATAGTCCATGCGTCGGCGTTGATCTTACTACACGAACTTAGTAAACAGCCAACGTGTTCAGTTTTTTTCCATAGCAAATGAATAAATAAAAGTTGATAATAACATCGAATATTATGATGTTCGGAATTCAATGAGTATTTCAAGTTCTAACCATGCTATATTTTTCTTTTATCCCAGGTATTGGACCTTCCTAACCGCAAGATAGATACGCCCCTGGCACCCATATAGACAGGACACATACAGGCCAAATCCGGTGACTTACCTCACTTTCCAGCCCTTGCAACTAGTCCGACATCATTCCACCCAAATTAATCCTATTACAGGATTCGTATTTGGACGATAATTCATGCGGAACCGTTATAAACACCACTATTTAAACGGATGTAACTCATGCATAGCAATTTGTCAATTTTTTAAAAATAGGGTAGGGGACTACGAAATTGTACCCACGAATAGGTGTGTACAATTCTGCGACTCAATAGTTACGAAATCGTTATAAACATTATGTCATCACCTAAAAATCATCTTTTTATTATACATTTCCCCAAAAAATTAACGCACCACCAAAAAGTATCCAAAAGTTTAGGATACCTACATTCTTCTTCCTATTAACTTCCTGGCCTCTTGTCATATGACATACAGCCAGATACAGATACATTTTCTCACAAACTCCTTCTTATTCTTCTAGCAATTATTGCGTGTTCTTCCATGAAATTTGTAATCCCCTGTAGAGTGTAACAGTTAGAATTATTGACAGTACACTTTAGCCTTATCATTTCTCAACATTCCTTTTTTGGATTTACTCCATTATCTTTCCTGTAACTCCAGAAACAGAATTTTATAGCATTACATGATTTTCTTGAATTGAAATAGCATTTTAAGCACGTTAATAGAAGGCTATGGTTTGGAAAGCAATTTCTTTGACTGGTAGCATGGAACTTGTGATCATAATTGGAAGCCTTACAGCTGGAAGGTATTTATTGGAGATTTTGAAACTAAATATAGTGTAATGATTTTTGTTGATTCAAGATAATGCCAGGCCTCACGTTGCCTGAGTTGTGAGAAATTATCTAGAGAAAGTCAGTATCGGTACCATGACATGGCCACCTCGGAGCCCGGATTTAAATCCCATTGAGAATCTCTGAGACCTTCTTGGGGCAAGATTATTACAAAAGGAACCTAACTTGCATACTTTGGAAAACGCACGGCAGAGACTGATTCAAATTTGGGAAGAACAGACCTAGCTGATGGACCAAAATGACATAAGGTCAATGGGGTCTCTTATTTTTAAGCATGAGCCGCCTTTGCCCCTTTCTTTTTTCGTTGTGTGATATTAATTTTCCATAAAATCATGTTAGGCTATAAAATAGTGTTTCACAAGGAATAGGAAATACTTAAAATGAAGTGAACCCAAAGAAGGAATGTTGAAGAAAGATAAGGCTAAAGTGGAATTTCATCAATTCTAACTTGATAGTTACACTCTACAGGGTATTCAGGAAAATTTGTTATTCACTTGGCGAATCAGCTGCACGCACAACATATTTTGCACTCTTCAACTCTGTTTTAACATATGGAGCCCTAATATGGGGCAATGGATCAAACTGTTATTTACAAAGAATTTTAATCATTCAAAAAGCTGCCTTACGCAGTATAAAAAAAGATGATTGGGAAGTCAGCTGCAGACCCATATTTGAGGAACCAAAGATCATGATCATATTTTCGACCATTCTGATCATGATCATATTTTCGACCATTCTGTACCATAACCTATTGTACGTAAAAAAAACACCAGCAACTATCAGGCACAATCCGATTTTCACAGACACGACACAAGAAACAAATCTATGCTATTACAACCATACACTAGATCACCGAACAATCTTTAGTTGATGTTCGGTGACTATATTAAGTAGGCATACGATTCGTGATCTGCCATTGTCCAAATTTTCAATAAAACTGAAAAACATTCTGGCAGAGAACTGCCTATATACTCATTTGACGAATGTCAAAAACAGAGACATCTCAACAAAAACTAGGTAAACCCATGTACATTATGAAATTTTATATTTACATTCTCAGATACTATTGTCTTATTTTACTTAGACTATTGTCATATTTTCACTTTGGCTATTGTCCTATTTCGATTTGACTATTGTCCTATTTTGATTTTGACGTGTTTTATAATAT